CACCACGTTGAGGGCGCAGGGGCAACGGCAGGACCCAAGGATGAGGCACTAGAGACCAGAAACCGCGTTAGATTACAAGGTACCTGTTGGAACTTAAATCCTTGAGTTGCAGCCACAGGCTTGAGTGGGAAGTGAGCTGCGAGACGCTTCAGATTTCACCCCCTGCTGCTGCAGGCGGCGCTAATGGTGAACAAGTGAACGAGGGGATCGTTTTATCTGAACAGCCTAGCCCTGGATGTTACTGTTTTTAAACTAACTGATGAGATACAGGTTTATCTTAAGGCTGCTTTAACTGATCCCGTGAATCCCCGAAGTTCAGCGGTGGTTGGCACGCTTATCTAATACATGATTGTTAGGGAGAAGAAATAGATTTCTTGTGTTTGCAGACTATTTGCATTTCCGCATGTAAATGAATGTTTAGGTGCATTTTTTTTCCTATTTATTTACTAGAAAAATCACTTAAAGAAAATGAATTTGAATGAAGGAGGCATTCTGTCTTAAAACAATGAACAGTTCTCCGGTCCCTGGGAAGGGAGGTCTGTCCTTCCTGGAACCTGAGCTCTCCGCCGCCTCCCAGGGAGAGGCCGTCAGGCCCGGCCGGACTCAGGCCCTTCACCCAAGGCCCGCAGCCGCAGCCGGCCCAGGCGCAGGAGCAGGTGGCTGTAACCGTTACAGCAAAAGCCTTCAGCGTCTGCGTTCACCGTTTCTGGCTGGGAGGGGGCGGCTTTCACCGTGCTTCATCCTGTGCTGCAAAGTGCAACTTCGGGCATTTCACTTAACAGCTGAAAGAAGTCCTTGTTGCCCCCTGTCACCTCAGGATGCAGTCTAGATTCCTAAACATTTGAGATTCATTTCTAAGGTACCAAAACCCTCAACATGAAAAAAAAAGTTGTTTTTTTTTTCCAGAAATCTAGGTCTGTACTATTTCATGGGAACCATCAGCAACCAGACACGTGATTAGTAAATACATACTTGAAGTGCCACTGGTACAAACTGAGATGTACTGTAAACTTAAAAAACACACCAGATGTTGAAAACTTGGAGAAAAAGTGAACTATCTCATTAATAATTTTTTATACCATTTACATGTGCCAATAATTTTTCAATAGTTAAATATACTATTAAAACTAATTTCACCTGTTTGCTTCTACCTTTGAACATGGCTGCTGGAAAATGTACAATATGCTCGTGGCTCCTGTTGTATTTCTATGGGACCGTGCAGAGCTGGGTGACTCCCACGGATATTCTTCATTGTTTCCGCCAAACATCTCGCTTAGTCACAGAATTAACCCCCTCTTCTCTTGCAGAAAAGATGGTTTTGTCTTACAGGGTCTCCAGGAACTGAGCGTCCATGGGGAATGTGAGTAAAGGGCTGACACGACCTGCCTCCCCCTCCCGCAGGCTCTGCCTCCTTCACCCCTCAGGTCGGCCCCTCCACTCCATCCTCACTCGCCGCCACGCGCACATCACTGACTGCGGATGAAAGCTTCCTCCCACGGGCCTAGTTCTTGCGTGAGAGATCTTTCTGTGGGGGTTCCTCCGTCTGGACTCTGGGCCACTATGGGGACCACAGGTAGACTTCAGTGGTCTGTGAGCACGCATGGCAAACACAAAACAGAAACAGACTCGCAGACGTAGCAAACAAACCCATGGTTCCCAAAGAGGGAAGAGGGTGGGGAGGGATAAATTAGGAGTTTGGGATTTGCAGATACAAACTACTGTATTTAAAACGGAAAAACAACAAGGCCCTACGGAGCAGCACAGGGAAGTACGCTCAGTAGCTTGTAATAACCTGTGATGAAAAAGAATACGTGCGTATAACGGAAGCACTGTCCTGTACACCAGAAACTAACACAACATTGTAAATCAGCTAAACTTCGGTAAAAAACAAAACAGAACAAAAACAAAAACAAGCTTCTGGCAGCATCTGTGCTCTGTCTGCGGCCAAAAGAATGTTTCCACGAAACACACTGGTGGCTGCGGCTTTCCTGACACGCTGTTTACAGGCCTCACTGCGGGCAGCTGCAGTGGCCTTCCCCTCGTGTTAGTAAGAGGCCCCCACTGTGCTCAGGAGCACTGCCTCCCCGGCACAGGGCACGCGGCTTCCTCAGGACTTCGACGTTCGCAGAGGCCTCACCGTACTCGGCATTCTTTTGCCCTCGTGCCGTCTAAATGCTGTTTCCTTTCTTGGAACGTCTGTTCCAGCTCCAAGGGCAGCCTTCCCGCTTGCCCAGCAAGCAGCCCTGTCTCACGTCCCCGCTCCCCGAGGGCCAGGTGGTGCTGTCTCGTCTCTGCCACTCACCACCATCCATTCCACTGCTTCTCAGTTGGGTACCATTTAGGAAGTAAATGGATGAACTTAAAAAAAAAATTAATATACAAATATTAAAAGGCATAATGATTTTTCATTTGTGGTATTATTTGAAATTCTTTTTCAAATCAGTTTGAAGTTTTAAAAAATTAGCTGAGTGGAAGGAAAAAAAAACTAACAATACATATTGACACAGACTCGGGGAAACCAGGATGGGAGCAGACAGTGCCCACGGTTTGGCTTAAGTCTCACCTCTGGCTGGTCAGACCGTGACCCTGATGGCGAGGGTCTGGGGAGCATTTCACATCGCCCTGTAGGTCCTTCTGCTATTTCCTCCAGAATTGCCTGGGTCCACTTACGTGTAGTATGAGATAAGACATTCACATTTGGGAAGATGAGTACACTGTATATGGAAATTACTTTTGTGCTAGTTTTTCAACCTTTGTATGACAGAAATTATTAAAACGTGAAAAGTTAAGGAATGAAAATAAATACTATGAGATAATGTACTAACTTTCCATCAGTAAACCAAAACCCGAGTGGGTGGGTATTTTTCAGGGAATTATAAATTAAAAATAAACCTTATCAAGAATTAAAAAGACCTGAATAAAAAGGTTAATGTTACTTAAGACACAGAAAAAAAATAAAATAATTTCCAGAGCATTCCACCAGAAGTCTAACTATAATACCAAAACCAAGCAAGGTGCACAAAAAACAAAGAAAACAAGACAAAACAAACTCTTCCAGGGAAGTCCAGTAGTGAACTAAACTAACACGTCACACGATAGAGCAGGATTTAATGACAAAATGCAGATGTAGCTGGATGATTTGAAATTTTAAAAGTAATTTAGTACTTTATCAGGTTATATAAAACCAAGAAATGCACACTTAAAAATAAAAATAAAAACAAAAAACCCTAGGAAAGAAAAGCGGTATCTTTAATTTTAATGCAGGCTTCGATAACATTCAAACAAATGCTTCGAACCGTTCACCGCAAAATAAAAAAGCAAGGAGTAAGTGACATTATCACGACAGTCCTGGTGTCCTCACAAATGCGCCAGGAAAAGAAAAAGAATTAAGAGGCATATACATTGGCAAAGAAAACAACTCTCGTGGATGTCATGACTGCTTATTTAGAAAGTCAGAGGGAAGTAACCGAAAAGCTGTTGGAACTATCAAAATGAGTTTTGTGAGGTGACTGGACATAAGGAAGAGATGAAAAGCACTGTTACAAATAACACTCCTGTTAGAATATGCAGCAAGAAAGAGCCTATTCCACATCAAAAAGTGGGAAGCATCAAGCGATGAACTCGGTAAAAACCATGCAGATTTACACAATGAAAATGATGCAGCCTTACTGAAAGAAAAGATCAGAATGTGGAGGGACGTAGCCAGTCTTTCGATTGAAGGTTCAATGCTGCGAAGACACCACTCTTCCTAAACTGAACACCAAAAATCCCAAAGGATTTTAAAAATAGAACTTGATAAATTCAAGTTCATCTAAAACAGTAAAAATGCTCAGGAAAACCCAAGAAAAATCTAAGACACTAACGAGAGGGGAAATCACAACTATCCACACACGTACCAAAGATGACCGCAGTCAACCGCACACAGCACAGCAAGGGACACGTGGCCAAGGGGACGCACACGCACGCGCGCACACAGGTTAGATTTCAAATTAATGGAGAAACGTTAGTTCATTTAATAGAAAATGATGTAGCAGTTAGCTGTTCATTTAGTGACAACATTTGATTGTTCAGATTGGTGACACTAAGAAGTGAAAACATGCACCTTTTTTGAAGGTGTCGGGAAAACTGGCCCCTTTCGTGCATAGCTGGAGAGAACGCACATTTTTGGAGGACAATGTGACATGATACACTGCTTAAAAAACAAGCATGAACTTTGACCTAAAAATTTCACTTCTAGGGACCTACGCTACTTAAAAATACACACTGTAGCACCATCTGCAATTGCAAAAGTTGAGAACAACCCAAGTACTTGTAGTTGGGGATGGCTACGGAAACTCTCACAGGTCTGCATTATGTGACTGTTAAAAATGACAGCGAAGATGTGTACGTGTTGCTATGGAGAAATTTTAAGGTATTAAATTAAAAATAATCAAATGCCACAATAATATAATCCCATCCCATCCCACTGCGTGCGCACAGGGAGGTGCCGAAGACCTAGAACACTGACAGATTTTGATGCTGCAATTAATAAAAAATTTGTTTTTAATGATCAGCTCACCTGCTACTGCAGGGCCATCAGGCAACGGTGTGAAGTTCCAAGACACTGAAGTGAGCGCTGCTTCTCCTGTCTCCACAAAGCTGGTTCTTATGCACTTTCCCCCAGTATTTATTGTAAATTCCCCCAATTTATTTCAACCCCTCAGCTCTACTCCAGCCCAAACCAGGTTTTGTTTAATGTTTACAAGCTCACATTATTAAAAAGATAAAGATCCCAGATTCCCAATGGCCAGAGTCCTGTCTTTTTACCTATTTGTAAAAATGATTCAATACACTTTTGGATGAATAATCAAGCAACACATGCCCTTCTTCTTTAATAGAAAAAGACTATAAACTTCTGTTATTAAAAATACATTTCACATCTTTTCTAATAGACATTTAAAAAACACTAACTTTATAAAATAATTGGATGTTTAAAAGCAAAAGACTCAAAGATGAGACACTGTGAGAAAAGAACGGTAAATAAACGCATTTATATGCTGAGTGGAAGAGGTCTGTCACTTCTGTAAACCCAGGAGCAGCAAAGCCCGGAGCCAGTGGAAACCGCAGAGCGCCCCACACAGCCCGAGGGCCACCAGCGGGGGCTGGTTAAGTCACCTGGGCACGTCCAGAAGACGGGAGTCAGAACCACCACGAGACACCCCGAGGCGGGCCTGTGTGTATTCACTGACACGGAGACTCTTCAGTTTACACCAGTAAAAACACTTAATTTAAAAAAATACAGATAGGCCTACACACATGTGCACGCACACACGCACAGGAGAGCACACAGCTGCCCCCAGACGCGTACTGTCCTATGTACAACATACAGGTAACGTTCTCCAAGGATCTCAAAGAACTTCATTAACATTCATTAGTGTCCCATAAGTGTCCAGTTCACGTGGTGACATAAGCCTATGGGTGCAAAATACCAGTGAACACAGACGAGAAATTCGGAACGTGTCACGTGAGGAACGTCCTGATTCCTTCATGACCTTCTGTCCTTGGGCCACCTCGGTTAGGATTCAGAGGCTGATCTTCGGATCAGGTCCCCGAAGTAGGCAGTGATTGTTTTCAATTTATTGTTAAGAAAGTTTTGTTCTATTTCCACTTGCCCTCCAGGCCCAGCCAAGGACGCCACCTAAAAATGGAACAGACGAAAATCACACATACGTAAGCATGATTTCAAAATAAACCTTTTCACATGCTTGCTCTGGCTTTTTATTTAAGTCTTCCAAATAATGAGGCATCTCCAATGTTCACTGCCACTTTCCAGGTGGGTATTGATGCGGTACTTGGTGGCAGACATACACGTTGTTTCAGGCACTTTCGGTGGCGTGGCCAGACCACAGCGCTGTGTCACTGTGCAGGACCTCATCACGCCAGTGCCAGAAGCTGCAGACCTCAGAGGAAGAGAAAATGAACATATCCTTCCCAAATTCCAGGTTTATTTATTAAGACAGAAATTTAAAGAGTAACTCCCTTTCCTGAAAACTTTTCTGCTGTTCACCTTATCTTTTGCATTTTACCCTGATCTTCATTCAACAGTATTCACTGAGTCCTGCTACGTGATCCCAGGACAACATCAGAGCGTGAGGCAGACACGGGCCGACCCTCACGGGGCTCCCAGTCTCTCCCACCCACACCGCCTCCTTCTCTGCATGGTCCCTTGCGCTGTTCTCCCGGCTTGAACCACCTCCTCTACCTGCTGCTCTTTGTGTGTGTATTTTTAAGTCCCTCCCTACCCGCTTTCTGTTGTGGTAAATACATCGCTCTTTCTGAGGTCTGCTAGTACATGGTGACTAACCCCTTTACCTGGAAGCTAAAAGCACCATCCCCTCTCCACTGCCAGAGTTACCCTCAAAGGATGCTTCAAACCAGCAATGCTTTCACCTAAGTTCCTACAGAGATAAAATTTTTAGTCCAGCATTTTCTCATCCAACCTCTTAGGCATACGACGAGCAAGTATACTACCCTCCCAGCATGATGACCTCACCCGGGACCAGTCTGAAGGGGCAGCAGTGAGGCTTAAGGGACGGGGGACGCCGTGGAAGCCCTGGGGTCCGAGGACGGGAGACACCGAGTGTGGGAGAAGGGTGCCGGGTGTGAGGCACCGGCTCCAACAGGAGGGACACGCGCATCTGTAACTCTGTGATTTAGCCAGCAGAACTGCAGCAGTGTGTCTGCAAAGTGAGCTGCTGTCGGTCTAGTTTGGTGTGGAGGTGAGAGATCTAATCTCAGTGGTGTTACACATGCCGCACCAGCATCGAGCAGAAGGTTAAGATTCACTGTGCATCAGCAATGAGTGTGTATTTTAAAGCATTTCAACTTCCTCTTAGAGAAACTTAACAGGTACAGAAACAGGGAAGCAGCAAAGGTCATTCTACGGTACACTCCTAAAAGAAAAAAAAGGCAGTCCCACCAAGGCAGTAACCATGTCAGCACTAACCCCGCCCATGAAGAGACAGAAGAGCGATGGCCGTGTTTTTACCAATGGAAACAGGTGACAACAGAAGTCAGACACGGTCTCTGCTACAATGATCAGAAGCGCGCACACACACTGCTACCTGCTAATAAGAAATACAGCACCTGAAGTGAAACCAGGAATGAAAAGCAGCGAGGTAGTCTCGGAGCAGCAATTCTCAGAAATTAAGTGTTTTATTTTCTATTTTTGTCATCTTCATGTCAGTCTGATTTTTCATAAGGAAGGGCCAATGAAGAATTTTGTCTTTAACCAATAAAAGGCATTTTGACTAGCATATTTAAAATATAATCATTTCATAGTACTTTTTAGATGAGTTAAGATACAACTCAAGTGCAGTATTTCCCCTGTTCCTTTAAACAGTGACTCGTTTAAAGAAAGTGAGATGGACAAGCAGAAGTTTTCCCTGGGCGGGGGGGTGGGGGGCTGAGAGAGGGGAGGAGGGAGAGGACGGGAGAAGAGGCTGGGCTGAGAGAACCAAAGTCAAGCTGAAACGAGAGCCAAGCATCTCCGAGGGCGGGCCCCGCAGAGAGCGCAGAGGCAAACTCGAACACCAGCTCTGCCAACAGTCTGCTGCACCAGCTCAGAGGGCCAGGCCTTGGCCGTCTCATCTAGAAGCAGGACCACCAGCTGCCTCCCCCTGCAGGGGCATCCTGAGGGCCAGAAGTACAAGCACACTAAGCAAACCCAGACGGCCGGGCCCTTCTTCCTCTCTCTCCTTTGTAGGGGCCGCCTGGGCTCGGACGCTGTGCACAGGAGGAGGAATGAAGACGTCTTACACGGGAGGCTTGAGGTCTATTAAAAAGGTAGTAAATCCTTTTACTCAATAACTACTGAATAAACAGCTTATAGGTTTTCTAGGCAGTGGAGGTCGGGAAAAGAAAAAGCTGCTTTCATGAATTTTACATTCTAGCTGGGAAAGTCAGATGATGGGTAATTAAAACAAGTACTGAAAATGCTATCAAGGTTTAGAAAGAAATTTAAAAGAAACTTAATGTGTTACTTTCAAGGGTTCTAATTAAAAATAACTCCTAACCTTAGCCTTCTTGTACTTTTTAGTATTTTCACAACTACATATATTTTAAAGGTTAGAGTTCTGGAGTTGAAAAGACTAAAAATTATGTAGTTCAAGCCAATAAATACTTCTTCACTTCAAGCAAACTAATGCCATCAATTTCCAGCTGTCTTTATGTTTCACTAGCAGGTTTAATTGACCAAAGGTTGTCTGGTCCCTTTAGCACACTGAGAGAGAGGGAGGAAAGGGGAGGGAGATGAGGAGGCGGCGGAGGACGGAAGCAGACACAGGCCAGCAGTCCTGGGCTACAGGCTCCCGTTTTTGGCGTGGTGCCTAAATATACCAGATCCAGCAAGAGAAACCCCGATTTGTTTGGACTGGCACTGGAACTAAGGACTGACCTTCCGTTAACCAGATTTCACAGCAGGCAGTCAGACTGTTCCTTGGGGACGAGGAAAAGAGAAACGGGTAAAGACCACAACGCAGGCGATAACCTGAGTGACATAAAAGGGGAGACGTAGAAGATTCGGGAGTGAAACAGTCAACATTGCATTTTTTTCAAAAAGCAAGCTGATTGAAAGTGAAAATACATGGTAACCGAGCGAATGAGAGAAAATAACCTCTAAACTGGGTCCCTCATGGGAAAATGTATCATACATACTTTATTATGAGAGAGACGCAGAAAAATCAGAACACTGGCCAGAGGTGACTCTGTCCTTTTGGGCAGTGATCGCCTTGTCGGGCTGACTGAGCCACGTGAGGCCGAATGGCGGGAGCACCACTCAGCTTCCCTGGTTCGCTCACCAACAAGCTGGCCGTGACCTGAAGGGCTCGCTCCAGAGTGGCTGGTGGCCCAGTGAAACACGCTGCACACTCTGTGTGCATCACGACAAGAAAGCAGCGCCTGCGCTGCCTGTAAATGCCGGGCACCTGCGCTTTCAGGACGAACGTCCTGAGTGCCCGAGCGTCCTGCCAGCCCGGGCGTTCTCAGGCTCAGAGTGTCCGCTCCCACGCGGACCGGCGGCGGCCCGTCCGCAGCCCTCCTCCTGCTCCGTCCTGCTCCCGGTGCCCGCACCTGGCTCTGAGGGTCCTGCACCTGCTGGGAGGCCTTGCCACACGCACCACGGGGAGAAGGCTCTCGCCACATGAGAGTGCTGCCGGCAGACCGGATTCCTACCACGGGAATTCCACTCAGAACAGCCGGACACAACTTTTCAAGCCTAATATTTAGAAGCCGGTGAGTCCCCGATTTGCCTTTTCAGCGAAGAAGCAGACTACTACAGAAGCTGAGAGCTAGCATCTGCAGAGAAATTAGCGGTGAATTTTCACTGTATTCAGCCCAAACCAAACACTAAAAATGCTCGTGAACCAAATTTCATTCTATTTAAAATGTTTTTCCAAATAACAATACTACCTAGTAGTTTCCACATTTATAGTTTCAAGCAGTCAAACGCATGCTTTCTTTTATGCGGTGAGTTTCAGAAATGCTACTTACAAAGAATCCGCCCTCCCTCCCTCAGGAGATAAGCTGCTGGGAGAGTGACGCCCGCTGCACTCAGGGCCTCCCCTTTCCTGGACCCCCGAACGGGGCCTCAGGAACTCCGTCGACCAGCGAGACCTCAATCAAATCTAAGGTCAAATCTCACATGGCTGTCCACGCTGAGAGGTACTGGGTTACTCTGTAAGTTTTCTCCCGCTTCATCAGGAAGCAGAACAGGGGGGTCTGGCCTGCTGCCACGAAGGCCGCCGGGAGGCGTGGAGGGTGGGGCAGGCCTGCCGGACAAGCACCAGGAAGCCCACGACGCCTGGCCTCCTGCCAAGCCCCCGCATCACGGCTCTAGGGGTGACGCCCAGTGTGCCCTGCTCTCCGTGCAGGGACGAGCAAGTTATAAGGAAAGGTAATCTAAATTAACTTGACTTGAAAAGTACGAAGGCTCCCGGTTTTCTGAGTTCTTACGCTTTAACAGTTAGGACATCAAGCAAGGATACGGAGGCCCCGTCTCCTCGCTCCCGGGTCTACCTCGGAGACAGGAACCCTGTGAGGCGTCCCGCGGCACGGGCCTCACACCAAGGCGGTGTCAGGCGAGCGCCGCTGTGTGGAGGTTCTTCGGGGAGACTGACCATTCCACTCTGCTCACAGACCTCAACCCATTTTGCACACATTTCCTACTTAAAAGAGCAGTTTCTCATGTATGGGAAGCATGGAAGACCCACGGCTAGAACTGGCTGCAGATCTCTGGCTGTCAAAGGAAAGAAAAGAAGGGGAGCACAGCAAGATGCAGGCAGCGAGCAGATACCATGCAATTAGCCCGGGCTCCCTGAACTGAATCCACAGTGATTTCAGTGGGCGAGATACACCTTCCCTCCAAAGAGCCCATCACAAAACAGCTTCTACGTTATTCAGTTCTTGAGTTTGGACAACAATGGACACATGTCTTGGAAGAAACCCCAAAGAGAAAAAGGAAATAAGGGATTGAGGAAACAGGGGACCTGGGAAAATATTTTACTGGATACAGAAAACAATTAGACTCATTTTCCATATGGAAAGATTATGAGACAACTTGTGTTTGTTTTGAGTCCACAGTCAGTTTAACCGCTCTAAATATAAATGTCATCCAGAGCACAGATCTCCCTGGATGGGAAATTAACTGCTCTCTACAGGCATTTCCATGAGAAAATGCAGGCCGAGTTTTAAACAGCAGACTCATAAACCCTCGGCCCCAAACCCACTGAGTTCAGGTTGCTGTGACCTTCTAAATGTTCCTTAGTAAAAACGTTGACTTCTCTGTAACTCTGCCCTTTCTCAATTTTGTAGTACTGTCTCTTCTCTCACTCAGAAAATCCTACATATGGATAGATTTTCTTTATTTTAAAAAGAAAAGTTGATTTCCCACTATAATTCGATCCAAATTCAGTACCAATATAACATGCCTGAAACCTCAAGTCCCCTTTCGGACTTTTAATGTTCTCTAGTGTCCTTACTCCCTCTAGAGGCGGGAGGTGTGACTGAACCACGAACTGTAACTGTGGCAGGGGTTTGAAGCAAACCAAAACACACAAGAGAAAAAGTTAACTTTCTCCTTGGGCAAGTCACCACATGCAAAGATGGGCACCATCACTCGTTACTACGGAAACGCAAGTCAAAACCGCGGTGAGACACCATTTCAGACCCACTAGGGTGGCTATTCCAAACAGCAAACAAAACCACACGTTAGTGAGAATGTGGAGAAATCAGAACCCTTGTGCACTGAGGGTGCAGATGTAAAATGAGTCAGCTGCTGTGGAGAAAAGCATGCTGATTCCTCAAAAAGCTGAAAACAGAATTAGCACACGACAGCCATTCCACTTCTGAAAGCGTAACAGAGTGAAGTGAAAGCAGGGCCTGACTGGGTCCATGTGTTCCCGTGTCCCCAGCAGCCAGAAGGTGGGCACTGCCCGAAACGCCCGTGCACGGAGGAACGGAGGAACAGAACGTGGTGAATTCAGACAAGCACCCGGGCAGTTAGTGTGCAACAGGTACAACGTTTCAGGCTCAGAAGATAAAAGAGCTCTGAGCTGGACGGTGCTGGTGGCTGCACAACACCGTGACTGTGGTCCCTGCCCCTGGGCTGTATGCCTGAAAATGACTTATGGTAAATTTTATCATGCGTATTTTACCACAATTATAAGAATCCACTCAGGTGATTTAATCTGCAGCCAGATCTGGGACTCAGCGTTCCAAAGACCAAGCAGATGAACCAAAGATGGAAAAGTGTAACAAATTAACGTAAGAATATGTCCAGTACAAGTGAGCATATCTGGTTTTTGAGGAGAAAGAGAAAAATCTATAATCTGGGATATGTGTTTATAAATTAAACTCTGTCATTTTACAAATATCAAAGCTGTCTACTCTCTCCTCTTGAGAAAACATGCCATCTTTACATACTGGTCCTCTTCAAAATCTTAGTAACGTTTATATTCTTTCCACAGTAACTCAGATCTTCTAAGTAACAGACACGAGACTTTATTGAGGGTTTATGGGCTGGAGGTACTGTGATAAATGCTTTACCCACTTACTTCACTACATTCATTCTTCAAAACCACCACTAGTAAGTGGCAGGGCTGAGACTAAACTCAGGGCTGTCTGACTCTTTGTATCTTTTTTTTTAGCCCATTCCCTGAACATCGATGTTCTGGCCACCTTCTCCTTAACTCCTACCATCAACTCTGCTTAGCTGTACCGCCAGGGTCCCTGCTGGGCACGTCATCTCCGCCCTCCTCCAGGGAAGCCTGCAGTGTTGTCACCACTGACCAGGCGTGACCGCTGACTCCTGTGAGATGGCCCTGCAGACGCAACAGAGGGAGCACTGACCAGAGACGCGGGCAGGGAGACCTGGGTGGTTTCAGTGTGCGTGCGTGTGCAGGTGAGGGGTGGAGGACAGTGCCTCTGGCCAGGGGCAGGAGGCAGGTGCCTGTGAGACGACAAACCAGGAGGAAGGAAACAAAAAGCCTGCAGCTCCGCTCCAGTCCGCCCGTCCCCACTGCCCTCGCCCTGGATCAAGGGCGCCCCCGCCGCACGTGCAGGAGGGGTGAGGGCCAGACGTGAGAGACTGAGGGAAGCAGGCGTGGACCAGGCCCTGCCGCTGCCTTCTCAGCCCTGCTCACCAAGCCCCTGGCAGGTGCCTCACGCTCTGTGGTTCAGGAGCACAGCCTTTAAAGGCCACTTTGAGGGCTGTGGTGTGGAGCTCAGTGGGACAGTGCTTGCCTATCACGCACGAGGTCCTGGGTTCAATCCCCAGTTCTTCCATTGAAAAATAAATAAATAAACCTAATTACCCCCGCAAAACAAAAAGCAAGCAAGCAAACAAACAAAAATGCTGCCTTTGCTCAGTCCCTCCCCAAAGAGGGCACTATGTCTTAAGCCAGTGTTTCATGTCTTGCAGTGCTTGTGTTAACAACCCCAGGGCTTACCCACTGCCACCCCTGCAGGTCATCACTGGGGCCAACACAGGCTTTAACAGTGGCTCTCAACCCGGGCCACACATGAGAATGACCCAGGGAACTTAGACAAAAATGGGTTCCATCAATTTCTGGGGTGGAGCTGGGGTGGGGCTTGGATAGTCAATTTTCACAAGTGTCCCAGTGACCCTAAAGAGGGCAGCCAAGGCTGACACTCACTGGATTGTGGCCTGTCCTTTCTCCTCCTGCATCACTTGGGAATAAACAGCCCATACCCAGTGACACACGACATCGGAAGACCACAAGTACTTCATGCAAGAAAAACAAACGGATTATAAATTATATCAAATGCAAAAAGGATAAAACAGATTAAGGGTTTAAATTTCATATAATAATAAAAATGTTCTAGTGCAAGAAGAAAACAGAAAAATCCAAGAATATGAAGCATAAAGAATGTAGTAGTTGAACTGAAAAAACACAAAAGACGGGGCAGACAGACTGTAACACAGAAGGAGCAAACGCCGGATAGCAGTGATCTCCCAGGAGGAAAAGGGGGCCCAGCCCCAGAAAGCGCAGCCGTGCGGGAGCCTGACAGCCGCACGATCGACGTCCCGAAAGAGGGAAACGGTGCTGAGGGGAACACAGTTGAACAAATAATGGAGATAATTTCTTCAGGATAAAATACAGTCAAAAAGTCCAACAACAGGGCCAGCTCTCAAACAGGAGAGACAGGAGACCCGAACCCAGCAACGCTGGAGCAACGTTTAGACCCGAGAGACTACGGATTTTCAACAGGACACTTAGCACGAGGCTGGTGTGTAATATGTACTGGTAGAAAACATCAACAGGTCTCTGGGAGGCACTCATCACACCTGATCCAACTTGGGGGGAAAACATGCTTAAAATCAATGTTTACGGTAAGAACAGGACAAGGACGTCCTAATGTTAGCCGAGTGCCCTGACCCCAAGGCTGCAGTTAGAAGTGTTCCCGGCCAAGCTCAGGTTTCACCGGTCTGTGTACTTCTACTTCAGTGGTCATTTCCAGGGATACCCAAGACCCCTCCTCCCAAGGGAGACTTCAGTAGAGACAGGACTTGGCCAGGCTGGGCACATACCCCTGACACACAACACCTCATCCTTTCGGGACACGCGGTGAGAAGCCCGGAGTGTTCGTCCAGGTCTGTGTGTGCCAGGAGCCGGGGAGATGAGGAGGCCGACCCAGGCATGGACTTAACTGCCAAGCGCTGCGAGCTTTCCAGGAAGAGAGAAGAAGCCAGGGGCTGCTCATCAACACGTTCTCAGCTAGAGAAGCACCCTGTGTCTTTTCTACCCATTCTTTGCAACAGTTATGCCGGGGCTCACACCATGTCTTCAGTAACGGCTTACCTGGTCGACATCAGCGTTTCTTGGAAGAAAATATACAATATTATTAGTGATCTTCTGGGAAAGTCTGAAAATTTCAAAGGTGGACAACAGTTAAGGGGAAGTAACAAAAACAGCAGTTAATTTTTGATCAGAGGTAAGCTCTTTACTAATTATATCATAACCCAAATGTATTCTGATATGTAGCAATAAGGCAGACATTTAAATCCCCTAATGGGACCTAAGAGAGAACTAAGCAGCTTACTGTCCCTGATGGGTCGGGGATTCGAGGTTCAATCTACTGATTCAAGGTTCCTAGTAGAAGGAAGCCAAGAGGGAAGTAACGTGCTCTTTCTTTCTGACACAGAAAGGACAGAAAAGGACAAAACCACCTCTTCCCAGTAAAGAGCAGAGACAAGTAACTCCACCCACTGTATTTTTCTAAATTTTAATTAGTAATTTAAAACACAATTCCTGTTAGAGTCAAACACATGATTCCTTTGGGGAGTAAAGATAAAGAAAGGGACAAATAATAAATGAGATAAGAGTTTGCTTCAGTATCTTGGAAAAGTAACAGGGGAAATCTGAAGACACACAGAGTTACAAGTCAGTGTGAGTCGAAGAAAAGTCAGGGGATAGCCGTGGACTCTAGGGACAAGTCTTGAGGAAACTCCCAATTTTGAGACAATAATTCCAAACAATTAATGTTTTTTAGTTCTTGTTTTGTGATGTAAAATTGGAGAATAAGCAATGGAAATATAACCTCACATTTCCACAGCTTTTGGGGATCAATCACCAGTTAGTTTTGAGGCAAAACAAACTGGAATCTATCAAGTGCTATTAGCTAATCTCTCTCCTCTTCACCAATTTGTTTCTCTCTTTCAAACACACACCACACACACCCCCACCCCCTCCACAACCACTGTCTGAGTAACTTCCTAGGATGAGCAAAGGATATCCATCAGGGGACATCATTGTCCTGATGTCAAAGATCTCTGCAGTGGCGTAGTCCGGTCCCCCCCAGGGCGGGCTGAGGAACACGACGTCGGCCTTTAAACCAGGAGCCAGCTGTAGGAAATCTCCACAGATGAACTCAATCTTGTCCGCCGTCCCATAAACTTCTGCATTGTTGCGAGCAAGGTCAATCTTGACAGGATCAATGTCAATGGCGATCACTAAAAACAGGAACAAGAAAGATGAGTTAGGTGATACTGGTCATTTGTTATACAGAATAGCTCATCTCATGAGCAGTCTGTATTTTCTGTACAAGATCCCCTTTTAAAAAAGACTTTTTCAAGGGAGATTTGGCCACAGATACAAGAGAAAGAGAATTTAACAAAAATGTTCATCTAAATTAGGAGAGTCCCTTGTGTTGTACCAGGAGAGTGGGACTGAAGAGCCTGGCTTTCAGAGCTGCCTCACTCTGCTCAGGGCGAGCAGTGGTGGGGGCCTCCCGGCGTCTGCTGAGCACCCCATATGGGCTCAGGCCAGGCTCTGCAAGGTGCACAGCTGGGCTCTGCACACTTGGGAAGGTGATGGCTGCACGAGAAGCCTACAGATGCTCAGGTTTCAGATAAGACCCATTTCCTCAAAACAAGGCAACTTTCAAAGGAAGACAAATCTGACAACTTCTAAAGAAAGACAAAATAATAAAACACGTTTGATGAACCTATGTTGCCGACTTATGAAGAGACGTGAAGACATGTGCTGGGGCTGTTTAAGGAGACACTTTAGGTGGAAGAGCAGGCGTTCTGTTCCCACTGCACGGGCTTTCATTTAATTTACTGCAACTTCATAATCAGCAACGCAAACATAAGTGAATTTTGGCTCACTCACGTCTTGCGGTAAATGACTCAAATGCAGCTGTATGGGCATCAGTATGTTACTCATGGTATTTTATATCTGGAAGGGCTAAGTGGCATCCTGATACATACACCATGGTTGTCAAGGAGACAGCCGTTTTCCAGAAAATGTGGGTTTCAGAATTTGTTAACACTTTTGAGAAATAATGTACTAAATAAATCACTTGAGCAATGAATACACGCACCAATTATTACGTTGCAAAATCATGCATTTGCAATGCTATTTTTCTGTTCTAAATAAAGTAACATTCATACTTACGAGAAAAGAGAGAAACGTCCTTTTTAGCTGCTTAATCTGCAACAGTTATTGTACAGAGACGGATGCAAAGATATACTGACAACAGCAAAAATTCGATGGAAAAAGATGACTTTCAACATGAAGTAAATTCAGTGAACCCTCATGCTTTCACCTGCACTTCCCTGGGAGGCCGTCTGTTTTCAGGCCTAACAGAACACAAGCAACGCAGACCTACCACATAAATGAAATCCTGACAAATGTTGGAGGAGACCATATATTGGACTGCACTGTCCCATAATGGTAGCCACTAGCCACACGGGGCTATTACCTTTAAACTGATTAAAATGAAATAATACTAAGAATTTAGATTCTCAGTCACACGGTCTTATTTGAAATGCTCGATAGTCACAGGTGGCCAGTGGCTGCCACACGGGACGGCACAGACACGGAGCATGTCTATCACCACACACACACACACACACACAGTTATACATACATATACAACACATACACAGTTATACACACACACACACATAGTTATACATAATACACACAGTTATACAGACATACATATACACACATACATACAGTTATATAGACATACATACATACACACACACATACAGTTATACAGACATACATATACAGTTAAAGAGTGACTAAGTGCCCATGTGTGTGTATAAACACAAACACACAATGACACTTTGTTTCGAACTCCCTACCATAATGCCGGCAGCTCGCCCACACTAGGGGCGACACATACCACCACCACGAGAGCACCTGTGAGTCACTACTGCGGGTGTGGGGAGAAGGTCATGGGACACGACTGCATGAACACACTCGAGGACCTGAGCCCCAGTTCACAGGCTGCAAGGACAGAAGCCAGAGTGTGCCTCCTTTTCTTCCCGGACGGAGGCTGGCGATCTCTGAGTGTGAGAGACGGGCTGTGAGGACAGGGCAGACGCAGTCTCCTTTAGCTTGAGATCCACGTTAGACATTTTCCTTTACCAAATATGTACTAAGCTACGGAGGGCTGTGGCAACAGACCTATGCTCAGAGAAATACAAATCTACAATATGGACAGTTTCTGTAATGTTTTGAAAAATTTCCAGATCTATTTGCTAGTTTATCAGAGGGCAGATGTATTAATGTTCATTATATAATACAACGCTGACTGAAGACAAATTTTCCAAATGGTGAGGAAAAATCATTTTCATGCAATAAACATGGATTTGAGCTCACAAGGAGTGGCTTATCTGGCAAAGACACAGAAGAGCTTTAAGAGTAAGTAGTGAATTCAGGGAAGAGAAGAGAATAATTCCTATTCTAGTAAATACGGAAGTGGCTTTCATCCAGGCTGTTAGGAGGCCGTACAGTTAGCAGGTGTCACGCTCCGGGGGACAGGCGTGATCAGATATGGGCCGTGGGTCAGCAGCGCTGGTCTCAAGGTCGATGTTCAGTTGCTCTTCATCACGTTCTAGCCCCTGCATCATGCTTTCCAGAATCATATGCTTTCCTAGTTAACATTAGGAACTTCATATAAATTAATGAGACTCAACTGAAATTTACTGAAATGGAAGCCATACATATACTGGTGGGACAAAAGAGCTGCTTCAGAATATGACTTCTTAACAGTTGATGTCTCTAAAATATCACATTAAACTTCAATTTAAAAAGAATTTAGAAAGAGGAGCAATATTAGATTCAGAAAAAGTAAGCCCTGGCTTCATGACTTGCTGTGTCAATCGGGGCAGACTGTCCGATGTTGTGAAGCCTTCTCTCCCCCGGGAAACAGCACACATCCTGCCTACTGGACACAGGCCCCAGCGGACGCACAGTAACAGAGGCTTTCTTTCCTTTGATTCCCAAGTCACACAACCAAGGGGACAACCCAGTATTTCCGAGTCTCAGTGTCTCAGAATGTTACCCCTGAAGGGTGTCACAGAGGGTCTCTCAATTCAACGTCTCCTTTCAATTAAGCTTGAAGGCTGCCCCCAGTCATACAGGTGGAGAGTGGCAAAGCTGGGAACCCCTGTCCACTCGTCTTTCCTTCTAAAGAACAGTCTCCCATTTAATATTTTTAGTTTTACATAATGTTATAATCTTGGCTCCACGAGTTGTGTCTGTGATCTCGGGCAAGTTACTTCATTTTTTATTTCTTGATTTATTTGTGAAACAGACAGTAATAGATACTCATCACAAGACTGGAGACTAAACACATGAACACAGAGGCACTTACACCAGTATACAAAGTGTATGCTAAATGTATGCTAGCTATTATTATTATATATTTGGGATTAAATGATTAATTATTAAATCTCAGCAGAGACAGGCTGAAGCAAAATGAAGCACTGACTGAATAAACTGAGAATGAAGTACTTTTCTTCCATTGGCGATCACTCACCCCTCTTTCCTGTCAAGGCAAACTGAATGGTATTTCCTCCAACGCCACAAAATGCGTCGACGACGACGCCACCACACGTGAAGGCCTGGCTGACTCTGCCCGCGATGTGTTCGGCGATCTTCTCGGGTGTGACTGAGAACCAGCCCTCTGCGAAGGGAGAATGCTTGTTATGACGCTCAGTGTCAGGAAGCCAAGCCAAACACACGTGTTAACTATATGTTATATACTTAAAAAAAACGTAGTTTCTCTTTTCAAAAACTCATCAGCCATCTAGTTTGAAAGAAAAGGTCTACAGATCCCGTTATAAGAAGGAGTGGCATCATTTCCACTCCCAGTTTCCGCAGAAGCAACCGCCTCGCCCCGTCCCTGACTCTTTCCCAGTACACCTCTCACAACTGAATGCGATTCCAGCTTTTTCGTTTGAAGCACTGACTTCCGACGACCTATTATGGAAAATGGAAAGTCAGCTCTCCTGACTGACCACTCCCCCAGCTTCACGGAGGTTCCCCATGGGAATACTGAATTGTAGGTTGTGACGTCATAACAATGTGCAATTTGCAATTTTATTATTGTTGCATAAAAACATCCTTGTTCTTAGAAAATACACACTGAAGTAGTCAGGGGCAGGGGCACTCGGATCAGAAAACACACACACACGGAAGGACAGGGCAGGTGTGGCAAAGTGTCAGAAAGGAGCTGGATCTGAGCAAAGCGGGTATGAAAACTTCTCACTATTCTTGCAACTTTTCTCTAAGTCTGGAGTTATTTAAAGGTGAAGTTAGAAACCACACGTGCACTCTACCGCGGTCTAACTTGACGCCGTCGTCGAAGCGGGAGAAGAGCCGGTATCTCTGGGCCCAGTACTTCGCCAGCTCAGGCACAGCAGCGATGTCGGGAGGCAGACCAACTGCCTTTCTGTTCTTGCTTCTCTTCTTCTTCCTCTTCTTCTTATTTTCAGCTACAATAAAAGAACAGAAATAATACAGATGCTCACAAGAGGAGGAACTCACAGGTGACTTTATCTGCAAGTGTAGGCACATCAGGTAATTCCCACCTGGGGCCCGCGGCCGAGGCGTGTGGGACCAGCGCGGACTCCGACGACAGCCTCCGTCGTGCTACCTGCCGGCTGCCCTGAGCCTGGGAAAGCGACCTTGGCTCCTAAGCTCCATTTCTCATTCCCCTGAAGAAGTGAGTGAGTGGGTGGTGTTTCACCTCCTCACCTCACAGGACCCTCGGGACACACGCAGAGGTACGATTATGGTGTGAAAGTTGTCACTTCTCTTAGATAAGACACTGCTATAGTGGGTGAGTTACGGACGCCCCCTGCTCTTCTTGAACAGAAGCTCCCAAGGACTGACTGAGCTCTAACTAACTCTCAGCTACACCAGTGCTCGGAGCCCAGCCGTGACCCAGAAGTCGTACGGCCTCTAGGAACCTGAAACGGGTCACTAGCTTCATTCAACAGAAAAGGCTCTCAATCATTCAGACTAACTTCTTAGACAAATGATTTTCATTAGTTTAGTTACCTGGTTTCAGTTCGGCGCGGATTAGACACAGCAACTCAGAAAGACAAGAGTGCTGTCATACCCAAGTACGAGGACAAGAACTGGCACCGACAAGTGGCTCTACCACACTGAAACGGTCCTCAAACACTGCTCTGTGTCTTAACAGGGTCATCTGACCACTGCAAGCAGCCAAAGGCATCATCAGTAGCAAAGTGCAGTGAGTTTCTCAAGAGGTGGGACACTAACACTGTAAAGTGCACAACTCCTTATTGTACGGGACTGGACGCTGGTAACTACACAAGACGCCAGCATTCCCCAGGCCATTCTAACCAACATCTTCCAAGTTCCTGGGATGGTGGTATCACCCCGGCTGAGAACACCAGCATCCTGACAAGTGGTGATCAGGGAAGTGGGGGCGGGTGGGAGGATGGGATTTAGGAATCAGACAACTTGATACTGAGTTCCCGCCACGCCACTTACTGGCTGTGTAATCTTGGGAAAATTTCCACCTTATAAAAGTCATAATATTCCAAAAATATATAACTGGAATTACATATAAATGAAATAAAAATAATAGTTGTTTTTAAAATTATAAAAGAACATTTGCTATTATTATTTTAAAAATTAAAGAACATTAGCTGTAAAATAAATTCAAATACTACAAAAGGGCATAAAGTGAAAATGCTGCTGTTCCTCATTCTCACAGCCAACTACTGTAAATACTTTTTTACATCAATGTACCGTCCAAAAAGCAAAAATCGCTACCAACAACAATCACCACAAAAACCAACAAGAACAAAAAAGATTATCCAAAAGAAAGCCAAGGCAATACTAAATCTCAACAGGAGCACGAGGCACCGGCCACCCCGAGCCCAGGGAACAGAGTGTGGTGCAGAGGCCGGTCCTCACGGCACACACAGGAGCTCAGACAGTTTCCCCACATGCTTTACGGTTTTATTTTATCGTGCTCGTTCAGCCAAGAGTGCAGTGTGTTCTGGGTGCCAATCAGCCATTAGCACATTTACGCTAAATACGCCTTCTTTCAACTCAAGAATAAATACGCGTGAGTTCTTAGGGAGAGATGATTCTTAAGTGACCCCGCGGGAAAAGCACGTCGGAAACAGCGCATCTCAGCCCGCTAGTGCTAGCGAGCGAAGCACCGCGCTCCTACCTTCAGCTTCCACCTGACGGGGGCCTGGTGCAGCCCGAGCCACGCCGTCCTCCGCATCTGTGGTGGCTGCTGCCGCGCCGTACCCGGCATTTTCTTCTGCTTGCAGCTCCGCCGCTGGAGACCCGGCACGGCCCTCCCCAGGTTCCGGGATGCTCGCCTCCCGCGGGGCGTCACCTTTCTTCGCATTCGTCTCTCGCTCCTCTGACCCACTGCTGGTGCACGTGTCCTGCACGTTGTCACCAGAAACTGACTCCTGTGATGCTTCTGCATCCACTGGTTCATTAACCCATTTTAGGAATTTTTCTACCTGAAATTTTAACACGTAACAAGCATGAATTAATTCCAGATCACACTGACTAGTCCCACTTGCTTTACCATTTGCGACTTGACAAGCTGTGTCACAACTACCAGCCGTGACGAGCAGACGGTGTCACACCAGCTTGTGAGTAAGGTGAGTAAGTTGCTCCACCCTAAGTGCACTTGGCTATCTGGACGCACCACGACCTTATTAAAGATCTCTTTAAAAGGAAAAGCAAATCCGACTGAACGCAAGGTGATGACCTTCCTGTTATCAATCAACATGAAAAGGAGAAAGCTGAACCGTCCCAGTGACTTTCCACAAAGGCGTCTAACAACAGTATAACCGTACTGTGCGTCACCACTACAGACGGACCTGTTGTCGAGCCATCAATTTTAGTTTTTCAAATTACAGAGCTTTCTGCCCTGGCCCAGGCTACAGTCTATGTTAAATGGCACTCAGCATCAAAGATGAACTCCACAAAGACGTGGCGCCGAGCTGTCTCTAAGGATAAAAGCAGTGCTATCTTGAAAGGAATGCACTCTGCCTTCTAATGAAGCAGGAGAGCCAGTAAGACCCTCTTTGAAATGTGAACAAGGCTCAAGGTCAGATGATACACACTTCCCTGCAATCTTCTGTAACAAGGATATTCTTCATAACAGACCTCCATGGCCTTTCCAAGAGTTAGGAAAGGAGGACCAGAGTGACAGACAGAGATGCACACGGACAACAGACCAGCACCTCCCTCTGAGGGAACTGGCCTGTCCATCAACCGGGCACCTGAGGACACAAGAGCTGCTCGCACTGCTTCCTCAGAGGCCGTGTCTCTGCTCTTCATCTACTGAGGAATGAGTGGCACCACCACATCCAACCACCCAGCACGCTACAAAAAGTTCTGCAGGGCTGACTGGACTGCTACTGGGAAATGTGTTCCAGACACAGCCAGGGCCACTAAAATATTAAAATACCATCAGCAACCATCCAATCTGAAATATAATATAAGCAAAGCTATAAATTGATAGCATGTTTAGATGGGCGGTGAAGGCAGGGAAGGATCGTGGACTTCAAGGGTAAAACAGAGTCATCCTGGGATCAGAGATTCTGCACCAAAGAGCTCCTGGAAATATGAGAGACACAAAATTCTGCTCCCTGGATGGTGCTTTTTTCCTGTAATGGAGAAGGATCACTCACCAAGCCAAGCAAAAGCAGCTCTGATTACTTTTGTCTTCCAGGTACTTAGACGGCAGGTTCAGCCAAGTCCAGGAGAGGGGCTGAGTATTTCACCTAACAGTGGAATCCCTAAGTCAGCCTTGAGCTTCCTGCCATTGGGGTGAACCTGTCAGTGCAAAGCCTGACACATCATCCCTCGACGACCTCAAGATCAAGGCTCACAACAAACGCTCTATCAGGGATCGCGCTTCCGGGGCCCCGCGTAGCCTGAAACCGCACAGAAGCCACTACGTGTTCCAGACATCGCTTCTCTGCAGCTTTCAAAACGTCCCCCTTTCATGTTATTCTCAACTTACTCTTTTTTCAAATTTATTTCACACAATATATGCCTTTAGGAAGCAAATGGAAAAGAATTTTAGGTACCCTTATATCTGATAGAAACAGGGCTCCCATTTGCAAACAATAATTTTAGGGAGTCAAGGTCACAAAGTGACACCCTATCTCTAAATATAAAACAAAATCTATACATACCTTACTCAAAGTTTTGCTTTTCTTGAAAAGCGTTTTTTCTGGCTCTTCAGTAAAGAAGATGTGTTTGTTTTTCATATTGATTCGTCGTCTCATGTCCAAGAACTTTGACTTATACTTCACATTCTTCTGTAGGTACCTGACCCGCCGGTGGCTGAAATCTGAAATTCCATCGTATCTGTGACCAAACCAAAAGAAGTGAACTCAAACCTCAGGGTCGATGAGTTTGTTTCCTTATGAAAAAAGAGGAAAAAACTAACAATTTCACTATTTTTCTCTTAGCAGCAACTGTTCTAATTTCATTCTGTTAAATTACAGAAATTATGAAATAAAGTTAAAAATGTAGAGGACTTTAAAGGTCTAGCTTGTATGTTAATTTTCAAGTAAATGTCAAACACCAAAGGTGGGAAGGTCAACATATCTTACATGTAACAGAAAGCAGAAGTTACACTGTAAAACGTAAGGAAGAAATAGCAGAAAATCGCAACCCCAGTGCCTGCTGGGTAAATGTGATCTTTTCTCGTCAGGTGATGCCCGTGCTCTTTAACATGTACCTGGGTACGTTCAAATCATCTTAAAAGTGCCACTAGATTCTTAACCTAAGTCAGTCTGAACTCACCTAAGCAGAAAGTCCCCATTACTAAAATAACTAGAGAACACTTGCTGACTTAACCATCGGAACTTCCCCCCGAAAAAGTTGTGTCTGCTATGAGGCCTTCCCCGACTCTGCCAGGCCTCACAGGCAGCCTCTCCTGCAGACCCCTAGGGACCCAGAGTGCACTGTACAATGTAGCACCTCAAGGCTCTGAACAGTTTGGTTTTAAATTCAGGAGTTCTCTTCCAGCCATACTATAAGCGTATCTTATCCTTCTTTGTTGAGTAAAGTTGGGTGCTCTAAATGGAAACAGAATAGCTAAGTTAAACCCCGGGTAACAGAATAAATCTGAGCATACACCAGCAAGAGCTACCTAATGCCTCAATAAAATCACACGTGGGTAGAAGGGAGTTCTGCCTGGGATTTCAATGTGGCAACATCAGGAAACTCTTTATATTATTTTTATGGGCTCTAGCCTTAAATGATTACATGGCTTAAAGTACATAGAAATGATCATAACTACCTTGAAGCAACATACTGACAGCTATAGACGGCATAACTGACATACCATGATAGGAGGTAACTGATAGTTTTTTACAAAAATTTTCAAGTATTTTAACTGTGGATATGTATTTCTGAGCTAATCTGGATATCAACCTTGAAAGCTATGTCTTTTTCTTGTGGGCTTCATAATGTCTAGGTATCCATTAAAATATCACAACCAACAAAATTAAGTCTCAACCCACAGAAACATCAAAGACCTTAATTTTGGTTTCAGTCATGGTGTAAGCAGACACGAATGGCTGGCCTTTAGGGTGCGGTAACTAGTCAGTTCGCGCTTTATGTCACGTATAGGAAACCCTTCCGTATACTTGTATTTACTGCTGGGCATTTAATCCCAGAGAAAATACAGTCTCTGCACCCAAAGTTCACAGCAGCTGCATTTCTAAGAGAGAAATGCCACACACAAACCAGGTGTCCGTCAGCAGATCGGCGGCTGAGCAACCCCGGCAGGTCCTCACCCTGCGGCACTGCTCACAAACGAGGAGGAGGGGCTCTGCTCCCACAGTACCCAGTGGCCTCGAGGGCGTTTGCTTCGCTCTGAGGAAACAACCTGGACACACTGATGTCCTTAGGAGACGGTCAATTCAACGCTGCTGCGCTGAAAGGACTAGGTGAGTGTTCAGATAAGGCAGGGCAGAAAGAACAAAGGTAACCGCAGGTCTGGACTTCTCGCGTCAGGCTCACCGCACGCCCCAGACGCGCCGAGGCAGGCGTGTGAGACGCGGGGGGCCGAGGGAATGGCTGTGTCCGTGGCTGGGCTTGAATCCCCTCTCTAGGAAATGACGCGACTGATCCTGACCAAGTCAAAACCTCTGTGAGTGGCAGCTGCTTCATCTGTGAACTTGGACTAATGCTGGATGGCTACGAAGTGAGCTGAGTCAGTGCATGGGAATGCGTCAAATGTGCAGTGTTGCCTCCACAACTCCCACCACCAAGAGAGGTTAGTGTTGCTGTAACATCTCAAATGGTATCAATACACAGCCGTTACTAGCTATCTGAGCATCAGAGAGCTTTAAGAGTGGAAGTGGCTAAGATTTCTGGAAGACAAAAGCGGTAATTGAGAATTACTTTTGCCCGGAGCCATGCTTGAATCCTAGAAGGGAACCGCTGTCATCAAAGTCCAAATCTGGGTTTTCATCGATGTCCAGTTCATGGCTAAACAAATAAACAAAGCAAACTGTGAATAAGCCGTCACCTCCAGAGCCCACAGGTGCAGGCAAATACCAAAATGCACAGAGTCAACCCAGGCAAACTCCCCCATCACAACCACCACCTGTAGTTTGGAAACCCAGGGAGACAGGACAGGTGCTTTCATCAGGACTTTTCCAAATGAGATAAATTACCTAGCAGTGTGTGGAACACGGTAATGAGCACTGAAATCCTAAACCAGGCCAGGTAATTATCTCTATTCCTGAACGTGCAAAAATACGGATCTCCGCATTTTCTTTTGGAAAAACACCAGCTAACCCGCAGTCTGAAACTACCCTCCCAGGTCACAGCTCCAGGAGTCTTCCTTAAAAACAAACAAGGACACATCCGAGAAGGATCAACCCAACCAAAAAAGCTACAAAGGAAGAAAAACACTGCTTTTAAAGAATAAGATTGTGAAGTAAATGACACTAAGTGACTCAGGACCCTTCAGCTTTCGGGGCAGCTTCTAGTGGTGCCTGCTGTCTGGGCGACAGGAGCAGATGAGAATGATGAGAAGTCACTCTTACAAATTAAGCTCACTGAGTATTTACGGGGGACCCACTGGGTCCCAAGAATACACCTACACACTGAGCCTCTGCCTCTAGGAACCAGTGGGAGCCAGTGCAGGAGCTGACAAGCAGGGCGCACCACCTAGAAGGAACACGGCAGAGCGTGCTTTTATGTACTAAGTCACTGCGCCTCTCAAGCTTGCTTACTGGTTTCCGAGAAGGCGCATGGAACATCAGAATCTCACGCAGAGCACTTCATACCCGGTCAGGGAAACGAGCTGTTACGTTCTGTAACGCCCATCCTCTCCTTGTATTTTACAGCATCCGCCCTTGACCCCACGTTATTCTCCGCCTGGTTAACTGCATGCATCGATGGTTTCCTAGAAAGCCTGCCTGTGGGAGAGCTGGTCTGGACCGTGGCTTCAGAGCTGCTCCTGCTGGAACCCAGCCCGGGTGAGGCGCTCGTCCCTGCCCTGCCCCAGGACGCGTAGCTACAGAACGGGAGCGTTAGATTCGCCGTACCTCAGGTCTATCTTAGCAATAAAACTCTGTGATAATATAAACCCAGACTTTAGGGAAAAAAATGAGAACTCCCTTGAGAGACAGAGACCTAGTTACATATCAGATAAAGGCAATCATCCACTAACAGCCACCAAGTGTCAGATATATTACATGCTAGTTCCAGTCTTACCAAAAATCTCACAAAAAAGGGCATCGGGCCCACTTTACAGGTAAGACCCCGTGACTGAGTAAGAGGCAGAGCAGGGCTCTGACCGAGGGTCCTGCCAGGATGTGCGGTCTCCTCGGCGCAGGACGGCAGCGCTGTGGCACAACAGGCCCTTCACACGCGCACTCAGGACACCGGGGCTCAGGGGCACACGTTCTGGGGAGAGAGGGAGCGTGCGACTTGCCTCCTCCGGAGTTTGCTCCGCTTCTGCTCAGGTGGCTCTTCCTCACTCTCGTCTCCATCAGTGCCCTCAGGGTGGGGCCTGTCTTTGGCTGCGTTTGCTTCTAATGACTCCTGTGAATCTAAGGAGGCAGAGACATGGCAGTGGACTCCCCCCCTGGTTTGACAACTCTTCTGTCATTTGCAAAGGCAAAGTATTCCAGGGCCTTTCCTGCAATGAACTATATGCACTTATCAGGCAAAGTGCCAACCACACCTCTCTATTCTGTGTATCTACACGCAGAGTCTGAGCACAAAAACTGGGAGCTGTGTCTATTGAAATCTAAAAGTTTCCATGATCTAACTACTTAAAAAGTGAACTAAAACTACATTTTCCACATAGCTGTCCAAATCTACACAAATTAATCCACAAAGTTACCTTTGGAATAGCTGCTAGCGATGACATTTTGATGGAATTTTAATCTAAATGACTCTTAAAGATGGCATAGTCACATCTGATTAAAGATCATTTCCCTTTATTAAGAAGCAAATACATTTAATTATCTCTAATACAGCTCTTAAAATAATAATGGCAGTAACAGAAAGATAAGCACTACCATTTAAAAAGAGTATTTTTAACTTGCAGTGGCTGCGACTGAGGCACGTGCCTGTCTCTGCTCTGTACTTCTTCCGGCTGGAATGAAGTGTGTGGTGGGGCTAGAAGTGGAGAGGTGTCTGCAGTAGACAGTGGGCAGCTTTGATTGTGTGAGGACAGACTATTTCAGGAGAAGCTGACCACAAACAGCAGAAAACATCTTACAGAGAGATGCAATCTGTACCTTACATTTCCACCTCAAGGGAGGATCTAGAACAAGTCAAAACCCAGAATTCTCAAGTTGACCCTGACAGCAGTCACACTGGAGCTAATTACAGAAGTGGCTCATCACACACATACCTGAGGGGACAGACTGTGAGGTTTGCTGTGTTTAATGAAAGGAAAAAGGAGGAAGAAGAGGGAGGGTAATCAAAACGAGGAACATAAAGGACTGACCAGTATACATACTTCAAGTTTCAAGGTCAAAATAAGCACAGGAAGGATCAAAAGACTAATATAAAACAGTCACATTTAAAAAGGGCGAACAAAACAGCAAAACAGAAGGACTGAGAACATGCACTGAAGCTGGCTCCGCTGCACGAGGCAGAGAAGAGAGAAGCTCTCTATAACTCTCTGAATGAAACTTCAGGATGAAGGGAGACCAGTGATCTGGGAGGAGCAAGGCAGACCCGCTCACTAAGGAGAAAGTCGAAACCTTTTGCTTTATGTATGAATGAGGCTGAGAAGAAAGTTGCTATAAGCCAGACTTTTCCACACCTAGCATCAAGAATGCCAAGACAACACGTCAGTGGGCTTCAGGACAAATCCTAGTTATAGAACTGTCCTCTCCTGTTTTCCTGGTGCCCTCAGTTGGCCGTGCCCTTCTCCCGAGCGAGAGCATTCTTACCCACCCTCCTCTAACTTCTCCCAGCACACCTCGCACTGGCTTCCTTTAGCCCCGACAGCAGCACCAGCCTGCCCAACAATTTCATTTTTAAACATTCAAGCAGGAGTCAACAAGTTCCTTATCCTGGAAATTCTATGAGAATCCTGAAATCAACCCATCCAGTTATAAAGTAACACCACGCCCCGTGAAGTCTCTTTACAGAGCAAGACTTCACTTGTCCAGAGTGAATTCCAGACACAACTCACACTCAGATTTGCCTAATGGCAAACGTGTACTTTCAAACACTCTTTAAGGTGCCTCCTATCAACTCAGTTGCTCCAGAGAAACTTGGACATTCCAGGCTCCAAATTAGATTTCTCAACGGATTTCCAGGGTTTAACTCACTGGCCACCAAAGTACAAAAGGCAGGAATGATACTTGTGAGACCCCTATGCAAATATTATTTTTACTTATGTAAAAGGGTAATAAACAACTTGTGACATAAAAATAAGATGGATTAAATCATTCCATTGCTACACTGTAAAACGTGGCTGGCACTATTTAACTCTACCATAAAGGACTAGTGTTAGTTATTTCGCTAAGCATACTCGTTTTGTTAACCATTACTCAGTAAGATAAATGCCTACACCTTGGCCAGTCTTACCCTGAGCTGGTTGCTCGGTGTTTCTCTTCTCAGACAAGCCGCTTTCTTTGGTTCCTCCATTGCCTGGTTCACTTTGGCCAGAAGCAGGGCATTCTCTTCCCCTGTCAGCGTCACCTGGCCGCTGACGTCCACCACCACTCACAGAGCAATCCAACCTGCTCTGTTCCACCTCCTCTGAATTCAGACTTATATTGCTAATCCCATCAAGTATTTCATTATGATCTCCACCACTTGAACTAGAACTTTCGCTGCCAGTTGATGACGATGGAGAAGCAAGTGAGTCTGTTTTCATGTAACATTCATCTGTCTTGTTGTCACCTTCCATTTTAGACCCGTAAGTTTCTGCATCACAGCTCTCTGAGGCATCAAAAGTCCAACCCCGTGCTTCCCAGTAATGAAACTGCTCCAAATAATACCAATAGAGCTGACTGTAATGCTGTTCCCATTCTTCCTTTGTATCAGGGACGTTCCAAGGTTCAAGACACAGCATCTGGTCGGGATGTTTTTCTTGCCAGCTTTGCCATAACAGTCCTGCACCATATTCATGCCAATACCTTTCCCATTTCTCTGTAATTTCTAGCTTTGGGGATACAGTATTTTCGACAGGAAGATTTTCAGTTTCAGTGTCTTCTTTGGTTTGAAGTTTACACGCTCTGGTGTTCTCACACTGCTCAACTGAAGGCGGGGTGTGTGGAGCCAAAATGTCATCTTCTTCATAATCTTGTCTCCAAGATTCTATCATGATTTCCTCCAAGTACTTCTTTTGATGTTTTTTCTTTCTCTTTTTAATTTTAACTTTGTTTCTAGTATTCATGGATACCTACAAGTATAAATAGCTTGAACATAAATTGCACTTTAAAGCTGTAAGAGGAGTAGAATTCAAGTCCGTTTTGACACTGAATAATACAAATACCCTCGACCCCCGCCCTGGGTTACCATCTAAGTTTCCAAGAGGAGGAACAATCGCACACTCCCAAGAGGGACGGATTACACCTTGTAGTTCTGGTTAATATAAATACACGTTTAAGAAGAGGTGAAGTGTTCCAATTCATGAATGCATTAGATTTGCGATAAAAAATAATCCATCTGATATTTTACGAAGAAACAGAAAAAACAGGAGTAAATTAATATTTACCTCAAAATTCTTATGTGCAGACACCCCACCGAACTGAAGGGGCAGCCCCATACTTCTCATGAGCTCAGCCTCAGAATCCAGTTCGCTTTCGTCTGGGCCCACGGCTCTGCTGTCACGTGACCTGGTAGTGCCGGGGCAGGGACCACTTTCGTCCTCCTCTGTGGCTTGGTCTCCTACACACAGCATTTGTTATGTTCGCTTAGTTTTAGAGAAAATTTAGACGCAGGTTTTATCATCCTCATTTTAAAGGAAAAGCATCTAAGACCCAGAGTTGTTACATGACTTGCCCAAAGTAAAGGTGTGTAAATGTTACGATTTTTAAGAGGAAGAAAAATAAAAGGAAAAAAGAAGGAATTGATGAAAATACAGACTAGTGAAAAAGGAGCCCACTAAGAATCAAGAGACAGCCTCTGGTCGGGCCCTGCCTGCTGCTGCCCCCCAGCTGCCCACCCAGCCCTCTCCCCGGAGCACCTGCCCCGCGCTGGGCGCGGGGCACAGGGCTGAGGATGCCCGAGGGGACACAGCGGGGCGGCCCAGGCCGGCACCTACACTTCCCCGCCCCTCGCCGGCAGCACTGCCGCACTAGATCGCGGGTTTACAATGAGGGCTTGTGGACTCAGCTCAGAAGCTGTTAATAAGGTGGGCGGTAAGTCTCCAAGCCTTCACGGGTAGTTCAATCACAGCCATGATTTACAGCCTGGGACTCCGTGGGAAAGTTGATTTCATGAAAGGGTTGTGCTATTAAAAGCCTGAAATCCACTGAACTGGAGGATCCTTTCAGGTTCCCTGATTCTAGGACTTACAGAAAGCCTGTTTTATTATAACAAAACAAGTTGACTTTATCAGAGTATGGTTATCTAAAAGTGGATCAGACCACTAATTGGACAAATACCACTGAAATGCTCTATTTTAAAATGTCTGAGATAAAAATCACTTTATATACTAGCGCAGTCACCCAGGGCTGAGCCGCACTCCAGCTGGGTGGTCTCAGGCAACAGGACAGGGAACCTGACCACCGCAAAAACAGAGACTGAAAACAAGAGACCTCATATGCACAAACTCTAAAACAGGGAAAGACGACACCTAAGTAGTGAAGGGGATTCCTACTTACTGTGCCCCTGAAGGAACCTGCGAAAGCTCAGCAGAGAGTAAAATATGGGAAATGAGTCAGCGAAGCTTTCTGTTCCCCCCAGGGTGCGCATGGGAGTGAGTGTCTAAATAAACCTTATTTGTACGACACTGAAGCCAAACCAAACATTTCCCCCAGCGTGTAACTGAAGTGGCAATGAT